AAAAAAACGTTTTTACAAGTATTTAAAGCAAAAATCATCGATTAGTTATCACTAGTCGCTGTATTAGCTTGAGACAAATAAAAATGCTTACCATACCGAGGAGGTTATGTATAAAATAAAGAAAATACCTTTATTGCAAGTCTTTAATATATAATTTATAATCAATCCACTCCTTTTTAGCCACTTAAAATATTTTTATATAGCTATTATGTTATATTTGTTACAAAGTCAGCTGGCCTCTTGAAGAACAGTGAGTGTTTGACATTCATAAATAAAGAACATATAAAGGTCGCTTTGCCAAAAACCAATTTAATCTTTTAACTCATGGTAGAAATGGCATAAAATAGCTTGAGATCATTCACGACAGATATGCTTGACGTACATTTCACAGATTAAAGGCAAAAAAGTCATTTAAAACTGTTTAAATACAATCGCTTTTTGGCACAACACCAGAATAAATAAAACTTAATTAATTTAAATAAGACTTAATTTTAATTGCTGTGTCACAGCAGCCGAACTGTTAAACACGACCTATAACAAGATCTGACAAGATAATTTAAACAACAGTTGTCGTTTTTTTAAGTACACAAAAGCAGGTATTTGTGTGTGAGGCGGGGAAGATTTTCGGTATCCAAAAATGCTGAGATAAATAGTTAAATAAACCCTCCTTCTCCAGTTTGTCCACAGACCTTTTTTTCCTTCTTCTTTCTTACTTTTTTTTTTTTTTTGCCTTCACTGTGTGGTTTTGCAAAAACAATGGCTCATTCCGTTATTTCAGATACTGATCAATTAGCGTCATGCCTCTCAGGCTGACACACAGCGGAAATCCGCCACACAGCGCCACTAAGGCGCCTGTCTAATGGAATTTCCTTTTTCTTTATATATTTTTTAAAGCCACACCTTCTGAGACAAGGATTTGTGGTTTTTCCACGTCATGTCTGACAACAGACTGAGTAGTATTCAATTTTGTAGTAACACATTACAAACAACTGGACAGACAGTTAAAATAATTTTTAGTAGTAATATATTTTATTGTCATTTAAAATGTGAACATGCTAATATAAACCCGTTAGCTCATATATAATTGTATATAACTCCTATGAGAGTTATTTCTTAATTTTCTTGTTTGTTTGGTTTTTTTTTGTATATTTGTCCCACTATAATGTTTCAGATTAACAAACACATTTTTATAGTAGACAAAGATTACCGGCGTAAATATAAAGTATCATTTTTAAATGATGATTTCATTTAAAAAGCTTATCAAACCCCCTTATTTAATCATGAATCAACTTTGATCAATCAAATTTTTTGGAACCTGAGTTCAATTTCATTAGCCACACCCAGGCCTGGTTACTGCCCACCTGCTGAATCCAGAAATAACTTACAATATTTGTATTGCACATTTAAAACCAGAGGTACACCAAAGTGCTTCACAAAATCCACTAAAAGCAGTAGCAAAATACAAATGCAAATAGCAGGTGGAAAGCATTGATTAACCAAGCACACAAGATAAGCAGATACCGAAATAAAACGTCAAAAGCAAAATCAATACAAAACCTTGTTCAACAAAACAGAAGAAAAGGGTACTTACAAGAAGCGTACTCTAGATAGCCAGGAAGGCTAAAGCAAATAGGTAAGTTTTCAATCGAGATTCTGGATCGAGTCAGATGCACGAATAGCTTGTGGGAGATTGTTCCAGAGGTTAGGTGCAAGTGGAGCGAAAGCACGGTCACCTCTGCTCTTTGCAGTGACCTAGGTTGCTCCAAGAGCAATTGGCCTGATGATCTCAGTGCTGTCCTAGGAATATACAGGCTGAGAAGATCAGTAAGATAACTAGGCGCGATATTATTTATGATTTTAAAAGTAAGCAATAAGATTTTAAAATCAATGTGCTACTTAAATCGATGGTATCTGACAAAAGGAAGCAGGTTAAAAGATCTCAAAAAGCAACACACCATGATCTAAAGAAGCGGCTGAGAAACAAAGTCATTGACATCTATGAGTCTGGAAAGGGTTACAATGAACCAGTGTATCAAAATGACTCCAAGAGCACATCAACGACTCATCCAGGAGCTCACGAGACTGGATAACCACATCTAAAGAACTGCAGGCATAAACTAACACAGCATTTCACAAAAAGACCATCGTGCCAACAGTCTAGCATGGTGGTGGTAGTGATGCTCTGGGGGTGTTTTGCTTCTTGACTTGGATGACTTGCTGTAGTTGATGAAACCTTGAATTCTGCTCTCTACCAGAAAATCCTGAAGGAGAGTGTCCGCCCATCAGTTCATGCCCTGAAGCTCAAGTTCATTTGGGTGATGCAGCAGGACAGTGAGCCAAAGATGTTTTACCCCCTTAATAACTACTTAGGTTTTTTGGATGATTTGAAACATGTAAGTGTGACAAATATGTGAAAACCTAAAAACCAGGAAGGGGGTAAATACTTTTTCAATGCATTGTACATATTTATGTCCTGGAAGCAAGATATTTTAAAATTCTGATAGTTGAAAACAAAATTAAGATAAGAAAACTACCTTCATCATCTACAGTTCTTCATCATTTTAATAAACATTACTTACCCTCCAATATAATATCTGTTTGATTATCCACCTGCCTGTTTCATTTTCATATTTGTATTTAATTTTGATATATGTGCTCGTATCAACTTGTTTTAAAAACCAGCTTTCATTACAGTTCTTTCAATTAAAACAAGCAAAACAGATGAGAAAATAACAACAGTTTGAACTACACCCTGCATCGTTACATGATCACACTGCCTCAGCATCACTTCTAGTATCATATTTCTGTGATGTGATTTGCAACTCAATAAAGAGCTTGAGGAGTACTCAACACTGACATTACACAGCACTGTGGAGATGTCACCAATTACAGCCTCCAAGGTTCAGGTTCTGCATCATAAAGCTATCAGCACTGACATTGGCAGACTCTCAGGAGAATTTCCAGTTTTCCTTTTGTTACTGAAAGCCGAAAAAATGAAACCCTGTTGTGTTTCCACATGTCTAAGCTGCTCATTTGCCTTCTTGCAAATATAATATCTCAAACGTGGCAATTAAGCACCAAAAATACAATCCGGAAACACAGAGATTGATGAAACAATCAGACAAAAATGCACCTAAGAAAGTGAATTTTCTACTGTGCAAAACAAAATCCAGTGCATACACGACTGAATGCAGCTGTCAGCGTCTCTGCTCCAGCCTTCCTAGTTTCCTCCAACACAATTACAAATTAAAAAAAAAAAAATGCTGAGATGGTTTGCACATGTGCAGAGGAGGCATAGTACACATGAGCAAAGGTGCTGAATATGGAGATTTCAAAAAGGAGGAATAGAATAAGACCACAGAGAAGATTGAATTTGGTGAATTTAGTGAAGGAAGACATGCAGGGGGTGGTGTGACACAGGACGATGCTAGAGGTAGGGTAAGATGGAGGGAGACGATCTTCCCCTAAAGAGAGCAGCCAAAAGAAGAACACACGTATGATTTTAGGTTTCTGCTGCTAACAGCTCTCTAGCACTAAAACTAAAATAATAAAGTGACATTAACACTACATAAGTACAAAATTAAAAGTGATATGCTCTAAATATTATCTCATATTTGTCTCCACAGAGTGAAGATGAAGCTCCATTCATTGTCCATGCTTTGTTTGTCACTTCTCTTGCTTAATACCCCTTTCTCGCTGACCAGGGGAAGGGGAGGGAGAGGAAAAAGTTCGGGCAGCAAAAAAGTCTCTTCGGGCACCAATACAGGATACAAACCTAAAAAAGACTCCACCCCTCAGGGTGGCCATCCAAAACAAAACAATCAGGGCAGTCCTGGACAGCACGGCAATTATCCCAGACAACCAGGTGCAGCAGGCAACCCTAACCAGTATCCGGGACAAAGTTCTCCATATGGAGGGTATGGAGGAGGTTATGGAGGCTATGGACGGTATGGAGGAGGTTATGGAGGCTATGGACGGTATGGAGGAGGTTATGGAGGTAATCGTCCTTCTGAGAAATCCAAAGGGTTTGCTCGCAGTGCAGTAGTAGCTGCAGCTGGAGGTGCGGTGGCAGGAACGGCCCTGGGCTATGGGTTAGGACAGTTCTCCCGTCCTCACTTTAATGTCCGCAGCCCTGAAGAGGAGTATTATTACAAACATTACATGCACAGGAACCATGGGTCTAAAATCCAAACTAATAGAAATACTAACAAAAATACTAATACTAATACCAATACCAATACTACTGAATACAGCAGCGACAAAGGAGGACATGCCGTAATTACTCAACCCGTTCAGAGTTATGAAGACTACATGGATGCCTGTATGAAGAGGTCTGACATTTTGCCCGTGAAAACTCAAAAGCCCCAAATCAAACCAGGTGCAACTGCCACAGCTACGACCAAAACCAACACGTCTACTCCCGTGACATCAGAGAGCAACGACACTGCCACAGAAAACCCCTCGACCCCTACCCCTGCAAGTCCAGGCCCTCCAAATCAGCCCGAAGAAGATGACACGGTCAGCATTGTGGAGATCGGCTACCCGGCACTGATCGAGCAGGTGAAAACCAGGAGATGCTTGGAGTTGTACATGGCTTACTCCATGAAGTACATGAGACAGGAAGGGCCGAAAGACGGGAGTACAGGAGGGGTAGAAGGATTGGAGATGGGCTTTCAAAGACTTTTAGCAGTAGTTACAAGTGCTATACTCATGCTACTTAACAGCAATGTACCTGTGCTGCTGCACTGAGATGTTCATTTGACATTATAGAGAATGTGTTCATGAATAAGGTGAAAGATGATAAGATGAAAAATAACTTGGTGGAAAGAAACCTGTAATCCTTTCTTTAGTTTGTGCTGACTTCTGCTGTGAGATTTTATACTTTATTTTATACTTTATGCTTCATATAAAGCAAACATTGACGGCACTGATAGCTGACTTGTGATTATAGAAGAAATTAAAAATAGTTACAAAGCCTTTTCCTGTAACTGTAAAACAAAATGAGCTAAAGGGTTGTTTCTTATGGGAGAATGTGAATGTTTTCATGAATTGTAAAGGCTTGCACTTTTTCCTTGTCATGTTAAATAAATAAAATAGCTTTACTAACTTGTACTTGTGGATATTTCATTGCTTCGGAGCTGGCAAGTGACAATGTCTCGTAGCATAACTTGTGTTACTCATTTACAACCAAAAGTAGAGTCAGCATTGGATTATGCATTTATATGTTATTTTATCCATCCAGCACCTCCAAATCTGGGATCATGAGCCCGTCCAGGCCTCCTCCACACCATTATTGTGTTGGGTAATGACATAATTTTCTCTTGGGGAATATGCTACACTAAGCTAGATGTTGTGATGGGTTTTTCTTTCCCTTTTAAAGGATCATGTGATCATTCAGCGCCGTATTAGTCTGTAGATTTCCAGACATTCAATGATCCCTAACAAATTTATCAAACTGTGTGATTTGGCCCCCCCTAAAGGTCCCAGTCTCTCTGATAGACTTGCTTTGTAAAGAATGGTCTATTTTACTTGTACTGATTCCCTCAATGTCACATTTAAATCCCTTGTCAGACCTTTAACCTGCTTGATTACAGAAATAATTAAGAACTAGCAAACACTTATCAGCTCAAATTAAATATGAACCCCTGAAAATAGGGCACCGTGTATAAAAATGGCTGCGGCTCCATAAAGGTTAATGCAATATTTTTGTTAAGCATTTCAAATTAAAGCTGCCCGTCTGCACGTTGACCTTTTATTGATTTTATAATTGTAGGTCCAGTGTGTTGGTACACAAAATACCAGACATAACTGTGGTGCTGTTGCAAAATAATTGCACTATTTTGATTTTTACACTTAAATGTTTCAGATAATCAAATCAATTTTTATATTAGACAAAGAAACCCGAGTAAATGCAAAATGCAGTTTGTAAATGACGATTTCTTTTATTAGGAAGAAAAAAGCTGTTCAAACGACCTGAAACCGTGTGAAAAAGTAATTGCCTCTCCTTGTTAGATTATAAATTAACTTTGATTAACCACTTTTTTTTTTTTTGGAAAGCTCAGTTCAGTTTCACTAGCCACACTTAGCCCCGATTATTGCCATCATAACACAATGCTTCATGTCACAATCTAAAGAAACTCAAGAACAAATGAGAAACAAAGTCACTGACGTCAGTCTGAAAAGGATTACAAAGGTTCCTAAGGCTTAATAATAATCTAAAATGATGCGGTTAGCATGGAGAATAAATGTCAACACGAAGCTATATCACACATTTATTTTACATTCATAACAGTATTAAATATTAAAGAACATTCTTTAATAAAATCTACAATTGATCATAAAACATTTAATTATGCAAATATGTCAATGAAAGCAATACTTAAAAATATAACCTATATACAATATACAGCATAGGTGAAATTATGTAACAATTGTGAGTACAAGAAAATAATTATTATAATATGATGTGTTAAATTTGTTTAGATCCGAGGAATAAGGAAGGATTTGTCTGTGTTTCAGTTTGGCTTAGCTGTAGCCCTGAGAGTGTGTGTAATTGTGTAATTGTTTAGAGGGAAAGGAATTTATTGACACTGGGGGTCTGCTGTCATAAAAGGAGACAGGAAGCTACAGCTTGTACCTTTAATAAAAACTCATAATTGTTATAAACTTAGAAGTAGGTTTGCAGGAGACTCTCCACCATAAATGTAAATGTAAATGTAGGACAACAAGAGGCCAATGGCCCAGTGGATGCAGAGTGGGGGTCTCAGTGTTTGTAATATGTTAACTCTGTTTTCTATGTTGTGTAGAGGAATTTACACAGAGACACACACAGTGCTTTGACTGTTACAACGCACCCACACCTACATGCACACTCACTCATGTGCACTCACATAGACACACGGGTACGCGCACACACAGGCACTCACGTGCTCGTGCATACACACACAGACACAGAGTTTGCAGCACACCATGGGGGTTTTATGATGGGGTCACTTCTATAAAGCTGACTGTAACAAACAAAGGAGTGGAAGATCTGCAGAGGGACCTTGCATGTCTCCCCTTCTAGAAGATGCATGCTTAACAAGATGAACAAAGGTTTTTGTGAAAATGACTACTGAGTCCGGTGCCGTCTCTGGATGCCCGAGGAATAAAAAAAGAACCGGGGTGAAACTGATTTCGCAACACAATGAAAAAAATATTTAAATTTGGTAATTAGAAAATGACATTAACATCTAATCCTGACATTGTTCCTTGAGGTAGACTTAACTTAAAACAGATCTAATTAATTCCTGCTCTAGCTTTACAGACTGTAGTCATCACCATATGTATAAAAACAGTGGCCACATTAAAAGAAGTCAAAAATGGGACAGGATAGCAACATCACATCAAATCAGATTACATTTTGTGACTTTAATAATGATTTTTGACCGCGTGTTTTCATATTCAGCGTAATGGTGTCACATTGATAAGTCAAACTCCTCTTATTGTCCTCACACAGGGTCACTGAAGTGTCCACAAAACAAATTGGCAACAGGTTTTTATTTCTGAAAACTCAAATTTCAGGTGAACTGTGACTTTAAAAATGTCCCCTTTACAGTAGGATGGGTTATTTTTGAAAGGAGGGTTTTTTCTGGTGTGTTTGTAAATCTCAGCTTCGTCTCTAGCGCTACATGAATGCCACCCAGTGGCCCATGAGCAGGGACATTAGGGAGCCAATGACAACAATGATGCTGTTGTAGATTGGGCCACTGGATGCTCCGGTGTAGTACTCCACATCACCAGAGCCCTCTGGCTCATAGCCAGGGCGGGGGCCATAGCCGTAACCACCTCCGTATCGTGGGTATCCATAACCTCCTCCATACCCTCCATATCCACCATATCCACCGTATCCTCCGAATCCTCCGCCATACCCATACCCAGGACGGCTCAAAGCAGAGCCGATCATGGATCCGCCTATTGCTCCTGCAGCAGCTGCCCCAGCTATTTTCCCGGCACTGGGGCCACTGCTCTGGACAGGCGGTGGTCTGTAGGGCTGACCTCCCCACCCGCGGCTGTAGCCTCCTCCTCCTCCTCGGCTGAACCCACCACCTCCACGTCCACGGCGGGCCTCGGAGCCGGGTAACAGTGTGGCCAGGAGCAGCACACAGAGGGCCACTGTGGAAAGTTTGTGCATTTCCAACGTGATTTTCATCCTGTCAAAATAAGATTATAGAAACTTTATTAGGACTGAATTGGTTAATGAGATTAATGAACTTCATTAGTAATCGCTTTTACATTTTTATAGACTTGCTTTTACTTCTATTACATGTTACATCATCTTTCAGTTGTGCTGTTAATTTTTTTGCTCAGCTTTGTTCTGTCATTGGCATTTAAAAAATGATGTATTCATTTTGTTATTATAAACAGGAAAATCTAATTTTTGTTTCTGCTGTTGCTGTTTTAGACTATACATAGTAACATAATTACCCAACAAGTACCAACCAAGGATTTCTTTTAAATCATTTAAAGAGAAAATATTTATTTGCATTATTACTACTTGAATTACTGGTGAGTACTTAAAGCAATTTATTTTTTTTAAACTATACTTTATACATTATATAAAATGGAAAGGTTCTTGAACTCACACAAACACACTGATGAGATGTTCTCAGTGCAGCTTTAGTCCTGCTGTGTGGTATTATTACACTGCTGATGAATTAGGAACAGCACAGATCACTGCTCTTAATCCATCTTTGAGAAACAAAGCTTACACAAGCACTGTGGCATGAGTGCAGACAAGGGATCAGATCAGACTCATATTTTCTAATGCACCTCAGTTAGGATCCTGTAGATGGGGTCTGTTTCTAAATCTATGGATTAGCTCGTTTTTGTTGGGATGGAATTCATATTTTCTTAATTCTGAAATCTGACTATTTTTGACCTAATCCCAAATTATGGACAGGCTAAGACATAAGCTAACCATGTAAAAAGAATTAGAGAAAGATGACACAGGCTGTAAAAATAATGTATTAACAAACATCCAGGCTACATTTACATATATGAGGTTTAGGTGTAGGCTATGCACCATAAATACAATATTATTGATATATTATTATAAAATATCCAACATTAAATGATGTAAACTCCAAAAAAACCAAAAACCTAGTAAAAACATCTTGCATTAAGAATGTCACTGCTATAATCCGTACTAACAAAATATTAGTGAAGATTGTACTTTATATACAGTGTGGTAGGACAAGTGTATTTTTAAGTACTGTGAAGTCTAAGCAGGTCCTGTATCTAATAATAATCTCAGTAATGAGGTGAACATGAGGACTAACATTAGAGTTAGTGACTTGTTTGTGTCACTAAAAAGTATCTCAAAATTTTAATAACTCAACTTGAAATATTGAATCATGTTGAAATATTGAGATAAAAGTGGGTGGCAATTTCTGTTTTTCTGTGGCAGAAATACGCTTGCGTCAAAACATTTACTCAAATCTGTACACTTTTGATGTATGCATGACTACATTGAGTGGGTTTTTTAATGCTACTTTGCACATGCACTCTGACACATTTTAAAAAGAAATATTGTACTTTTTACTTTTATTCACCAGCTTTATTTTAATTACGTCTTCTCTGGATGAGGATTTAAATAGATCATTTTAATAAGTATGTTATAGAGTTTTAAGAAATACTCTCCAGTATTTAAAACCCCTAAAGCAGTTTCACCTTGACCAACTGCGTCACTGAAGGATAGCTCACATATTAGAGCATCGATAACACCAATCCACTAATAAGGATTGCTATCACTGAATCATAACTACCTCTGTTTTTCAAACTTTAAATCCAATTTAAAGCAAAGTTTAATCCGCTCCACTTAAATTCTCTTTTATCAACCATTCAGTCTATAAATCCAGGTTGGTTTTACATATTATTATTAAGTATCCATGATTAAAAGAGAACTTAGATTTGACTTTTTATTTATTATAATCCTTGTTTGTACCTTGAGAAGCATTCATATTAATTGTAATTAGTACAACCATGTGTTGCTTGAGAATTAGGATTTGACAAATACCACAGTCTTTGTACGCTGTATGCAACTTTTATATTACATTACTTTGTATAGTACTACTAATTCTTTTACAAAGAAATGAAATACATGTCCCACCACTGATTATATGACCATGACATCATTAGCTCTGTCAACAGGCGGTGTACACTCTCTAATCTGTGTCCTCTT